TGTGTTGTGTGACACTGACGCATCAGCACGTGTGGACCTGACTGAAGATGCACAGTGACAGGCCTCCTCCGAAGCTCCGGAGCCAGAACCTTCTCGTGAGCACAATCACTTGTGATTTGCAGGCAGTGTCAAGTTCTCAAAGACAGATTTAAGGAAGCATGGGATGTATATACTCTCTTGGGGCTCCAGGGACCCACATAAGTAGACACCTCTGTCACAATTAGAGGAGAGATACTCTGAGTGACTTTTTTATTTGTTTTGGGGGTACCAAGTAAGGTTTTATTAGGGAAAAAAACATCTGTGGCTTTAAAATTGTCTCAAAGAATATCTGAAAATCATCAGTAATCAAGTTCATACCATTTTACAGGTAATGAAACTAAGTAACAAAGACCCCTGTCTTCGCCCAGTATTTACACTGGAAGGTCACCCCACACACTTTCTCGACCCTCTCTATCCATTGAAGAAAGCAACACACGAAATGGAAACTGCAAATTAGCTACTGAATAAAGGTCTTCATAAATTGTAGTTGTTGGAATTATAGGTGCATGCCACCAGGCCCAGTCTCAATAGCCACCTCAACGAGCCCGGGGGGCAGGGTTGATAAGCATTTTAAACAGAATTTTTTTTTGTATTATAAAATATCACTTTCTTCTTGCTGCAAAATAAAAGGATACCTGCACAAATGACTTCAGCATAATTTTCCTGTGTCATACTCCTTTAATGATATTAGTGTACTGATTATGTTAGCTTTTACATTATGTAGAATAAACCTATTAAGTGGCACTATATTTTTAATATTTTATAATTCCTATGAAGGATATTGGGAACAAAAATTTGTTACTTCAAACTTTACACAATATAGCTTTAATCTATCCATTGCAATAGATTTTATGTATTTGTTCATCATGGGTTAAGCATGAATAGCATATAACATTTTGAATAATAAACATTTAGTCAATAAAAATAAAAATAAAAAAAAAATAAATCATAGTTGACTTTTACCTTGACCCTGAATTTGATTGTTAGCACCCTTTTCTTTGCACACATGGCTGTAACTTCCTTCCAAAAACTCATCCAACACAACAAAAGTCACTATCTGCTTGCATTCTGCGATGGAACAGAGGTCTCATGCTGTGGTCTTGTGTACACTGTGGCTGAGGAAACCCTACAGGTTTGTGGATATTTCAGCTAATTATCTTGCCATGACCATTGAGACAGATTTGGATGACTGTCCAATTAATAGTCCTAAAGGAAAAATTAGGGGGGATTCCTGCCCAAATAGCCCACCCCAGTGCCGGCATATCACTGTGAACATTTTCTTCTAAATATGATTAATTCCATAAATAATTATTAGAAATGAAATTAAAGATCACTCATGCATTACACCCAATAATGTTTTAAGGCATTACATCCTGAAGCTCTGTAACAAATTAACATTATGATCTGGTTTGAATTCTGCAATTTTCAGCATACATCCTACTCTGCTGGAAAGTAACCTGGTGACCTCCTTCAGTTTCTGCAACAATTTGAATTAGGCATTCTAAAAACACAGATTTGGAAATGCCTAAGCTTCAAGACAAAAGTTCAATAGACTCCCTTCCCGAAAAGGACAAATTGTGTACATTTACAAGGTTGTGGCAGGGCCAGAATAATGTCCCTAGATCCTTCATTCATTCCTTGCCTGGTTCACTGGTTCACATTATAGTACCCACATTAATGACTTTTCTATGAGAACCAAATATTCATTCTGGTAAAATCCAAGTTGCTCATTACTTTTGTTTATGGAGCTATCTCTGATCTGCTGCACAGAGACACAGAAAAGCAAATTCAGTTAGAACTCATTCATATAATTTTCTCTTAAATCTAGGAATTATAAAACTTAATAGAGTAAAAGAGGAGGAGCAATGATTAGAGCTCCAGTGTAAAGGGTCCATGTTTCTATTTTGAGTTCTGATCCTTTCTGTGACTTTAAAGTCAATTGTCTCAGGCAAGCAAGAATTAAGATCCTAGGATTTTGGAGGAAAAATTTTCAGTTCTTTAGGCCAAAGAAAAGCAAACACCAGGAAAAAATCAAATAATTAATTCACAATCACAATTGTTTTGTGATATGTGATGGCATTGCCTGTTTCTGTGTGAAAATATTCCACAAAGAAAACAGAATTTTGTTGAAATTGTTACAACTTTCTTGGTACTTTTAGAAATTAAGATTGAGTCATCAAAGAATTATAAACAAATGTAAAATGAGCCCAACTTTTTAAAAGTCTGCTTGTCTAACATTTGTTAGATTTCATTACAGGCTGAGTATCTCTTATCCAAAATACTTGGGATCAGAAGTGTTTTGTAATGTCTTATTGTTTATGGATTTTAGAATATTGCATATGTATAATCATATATTTCAAATGTAGGTGTGATCGTAAATGCAAAATTTGTTTTATATGTACCTTAAAAATGGACCTGAACAGAGATTTTTCAAATATTTTAAATCTTATTCATGAAACATAGTTACTTAGTATGGGATATTCTGTTTGTGGCATTAGGTGAATCCTCAAAAAAATTCGGGTTGTGTTACAGTTCAGATTTCAGATTTTCAGATTAAGGGTATTTGAAAACTTATGTAAGTTTTAAGATGCTGTTTTAGAACGGAAAATGCCCTTTCTTTTCTTCAGTAATATGCTGTAGAAGTAAATATAAAATTTCACTTTTGTCTGAATAATTAAAAACACTCCTTAATAATTTTGTGGTTGCACTATAACTATTTTATTGTTCACCTTTGGTCATGGAAACATATACGTGATATACTAAAGTAGTTTAGCCAAATTATGGAGAAGAGGTCCAAGTGGTTTAAACCTTGTGGAGTTATTTATGTTTTTTTTCTAAAATGAGTAATAAAAAAAGAAAAATTCTCTTTAAGGGTACGTAAATATTTATGGGAATAAGTCTATGTTTTCTTTCTTTTATTTTGTCTTAACAGAGGAAGGCTCACTGCTCCATATTTTTATCTTGTTTCACAAATCTCATAAGTTCAAAGAATATGTGGTAAATTCTGCAGTACTTTTACCTAAGATAAAAATCATTAACTGAGTACTCCTGACTTACTAGCAAAATATCAAACATGATAAATAATAGTACTGTATTTTGATAATAAAATGAAAATAAAACCATATTCACAAGTACTGGAATATGCATAAAGCCCTGAGTTTTAAGAAGTAATTTCTATAGTGGGCAAGGTTAACTTTGGAATTAGATGGCTTTTATTATTCTTGCCATTTTTTTAGCATCATGGGTTTGTGCAACATGTAAACGACAAAATTGTAGACTTTAAGTGTTATCCTACATGTGAGTCACCTATAGAAAGCAAAAACCATAGTTAAGGTATCAGTAAAAAGTGAATTTCACAAGCACTCAGAAAGCACGCTTGTCCTCCACAGCACAGTCTTTACTTGCCATGTTTGGAAATCAGTGTGTTCATAGCTTGACACTGGCTTGCTGGACCAACCACTATTTGGGACTGGGAAAGACGGAAGGTGGAAGCAAGGCTTAGTGATGGTGCTGGGCCAGAAGGACCATGGCTTTGGAAAAGACCAGCTGTGAAGTTGCACCAAAGAGTGGGCAGGTGACCAGTCAGCTGCAGCATGTGGACCTCTCTCCTCCAAACTGGGTGACCATGAGTTAGTTACAACACCTGCCTCCCTAGCAGAGCTTAGCATGTGTCCATTGCTTGTGGCATCCGTCCCATGGTAGCATATTGTTTGGCTACATGATGCTTTCCTTAGTTTTAATTTCTTCTTTTACACAATGAGTATCAGTCAGTGTCCTTACTTTGTGGGGTTTCATCGGCTTATAAACATAAAGCATTCTGACTACATAATGTCATATAGGCAGTAGCACATAGTATTATTAGTAGATAGAATGCTATTACCTTGATCAGTATTTTTCCAGAATGTATAAGAAATACCCATTCCAACTTGAAGTGAAAAACTTCTTTCAGAGCCATTAATCAGTGATATAGGCATGGCATTGGCAATTCTAGAGAGATTCTGAATACTAGTATATATACATTGATATTTAACCTATTTTGCATTACAAATATTTAGATGGGAATAAACTCTCTTCAGTATTTATTGTCTTATTTACCCCCAAATTGCAAGCAGTTTGATAAATGGAGTAATCATTTCTAGTCACTGTGGCATTGAAATGTATTTTTAGTGTCTTCTGCTGCTGTAACTCAATAATTCATTTCGGCACATCTGTTTGTAAATCACAGAAGGTTTGTTCAGGATATCAAGTGCTGGGGTGATATGTTCTCTTTTTGTCAATACTTTATGCAGTATTTCAGGACTGGAGTCTACGATGCAATATAACACCATAGGCTCAAGATTGTCTGTATCCTCTGATGATGGACTCTATTTTCAGAGTATGACGTCTTTCATTTTCAGGCCAAAAAAAAAATCATTAAGTGCAGACACTTAGTTCAATAAATACTCCTACAATATTAAATGGTAGCTTATTTGCTAGAAAGTCTACCACCTAACCAGAAGCACATTTTAGGAATTATGTAGAATTAAACAGCCTTATGGTTTTGAATGAAGCCATGCACAAACAAAATGAAGTGATATATGTACTGACTTCTAAAAAAGAGAAAGTGTCAATGACTGTATAGTAAAGGCTTTGTTTTTTAATTATAGTGTTTTTGGCTACTTATATTTCAGACATAAATGTGCAAAAGGCATTAAAGCTCACACTCAGTTCTCTGAGGACAGGGGTGGCAAAAGGGCTGTCACCTGCTGGGAGTAGACAGTGCTGTGGTGGAGATGCAAGCACACAGCTTTGATGGCTTAGAAGGGGGAACATTTATTAATTCCAAGTGTGGTGGTAGAAAGAGATCATTTAATGTGTTGCTAAATTTAGTTCAGAAGTTAATCCAGAAATGTCGTAAAATATATTTTCCTGGAGTTAAGACCTCATCCTGGTGCTCATTATTTGTTCATTTTCACTTTTAGAGACGCCCAAGCAGATGGCCTGCGATGAAGTTTCGAAGAGGTTCTGGACACCCTGCCTATGCTGAAGTTGAACCAGTGGGAGAAAAAGAAGGTTTTATTGTATCAGAGCAGTGCTAAAATTTCTAGGACAGACTAGCACCAGTACTGGCTTACAGGTGTTAAGACTAAAATTTTGCCTATATCTCTAAAACACACACACACACACACACACACACACACACACACACACACACGAGTCCCAAGCTGCTGTAGCCTGAAGAAGACAAGATTTCTGGACAAGCCCAGCCCAGGAAGGTTAAAAGTGAAACTAAAACGTAGAGAAGATGCCATTACATTGCACATAGACTCCCTAGCAGGGTGGCATCTGCAGTTCACTGGGAACATCTCTCGTGGACTTACCAGAAATGTGACAAGATCACAGTACTTTTTGGCTTAGGTGCAGGGTTGGAAAGGGATTGAGAAAAATTTAATAATAAAGCTTTAGTTCACAGGGGATCCTCAACCTTGGTTCAAATGTTCTTATCTGATGTCTCAAAGATATCTGTGTTCCCAAGCGGGAATCCTTTTCCTTGAAAGAGCAATGATGACAATTTCCTGTGTGCTGAGAAGCGTAGCTCATGTGGAGGCAAAACCAAACTCAAAATGAGAAATTTTATATCTTTTCCAAACAGACATGTGCCAAAAGGGTTTTATTTTTCTGCTCTTGGTCCATCTATTCTGCCGAATTCATTACCTTACGGACTGAATCTTTCCTGTGTACATGAAATTCAAACTATGCCTGCCTCTTCCTTGGCAAAGAATGCCTTTTCTATGAGCTGTGTCATTTCCTACCTTTTAGCTAAGGAGCAGGAAGGAAGGAGCAGTGCAAGAGGCTTGCCATTTGCCGCCTCCGAGTGGAGCCTCTGTATGGGCTTAAGAACCGTCGCTGCCGTTTCCCAAGTGGGAAGCCCTGTGAAGCCACAGTTGCTCTTGGCTGATGGAAACAAGCGAAACTAGTACGAAGAATGCCTTGATCATTTCTTGATCAAGGGATTTTCATATAGGGTTTTTCAATTTTTTGCCATTTCAGTACGAAAAACCCATTTCATTGATGATTCCTGTCTAAGAAGCCATTCAAGTCAATATATCCCTGGTGATGAAAGAACGAAAGAACCCTGCTGAATCATACAGTAATTTTCTTTAAAGCACATAGTCGTTACATAAATCTCTATATATAAAAATATATTTTTGTTTATAACTAACACAAGGCAGGCTCTTGTGACTCTCAGAGTGCATTTTGTCATCTAGATAAAAGAAATGCAAGACGCACAGCTGCATTACTCCCACAGAGTTGTAAAATAATCCTTAATATTAGAATATTTTTATGTCACTTGGCAAAATGGTTAAATTCATTGCAGTGCCATCATGTTCCTGCCTATTTGATCTACTCCTCCGTTCCTCTCAACCCCTTCCCTCCCTGCCTAAATGAAGTAGGTAAAAAGTTCCTTAGATGGAGCTGCAATTTGCCCTGAAATCACAACCCACATTTTGAAAATTCCCCATGAGTGAAGAAAGGAAAAACATTGTGTGAGGAAGAAAGAAGTCAATAGGCATCCTGAGCTCCTAAGGTTTAAAATTCATCTCCTGTGTGTAGAATTTCATCAATGGCTTGGCCCGTGGAATGTTTCCTTTCTGTGCCATATTGGTTCTTGTCAGACCCAGCGTTCAACAGTTGCAGATTCAGGTCTCAAAACAGAGTTGTGTCTCCGAAGTAACATTTTACTAACAGCTTGGCATCTGCACACAACGTCTGCATTGGACAGCATCCATCTATTAACAAAGTCCCATGCTTGGTCAGCACAGTGGCCCCACGTAAACTGGCACTGTTTTCTGTCAACATATATTTTGCCTTCCAGTTTTTAGTATCTGATGAGAGTGGTAACTTTTTTTACACTGCTTAGCTAACAATGGCCAAAAGAAAACTGAAAAGCAAAGTGACTTCAGGATGTAATGACAATCTCTCTGCCATAGCTACTTTCATTTTTTTTGTGAAGTATCCCAGCTTATTCTTTGGAGTAGGTTTGGTCAGACAGAAATAACCAAATGACTTGCCAGTGTAACTGGTGCACCTGGTATTCTAAACACACATAAAGAACATACAGATGACTTCCTTTTAGGATAAAGTGCTTCTTTTTTGCTAGCCTTTTTGGTAGGTGTGGCTTCCAACAGCACTTGATTGACAGTTATATAAATATCTTGCTTCTATATCTGACTGCTTACATATTTCAAATATTAACCTTATCTTTACTTCCTTTGTAGCTTATCTTTTATGTTAAATTCAAAAGAACTGATAACTCTGTTAAGTGTACAAAGTTGAATTATTCAACAAACCAAAGAACCAATTAACAGAAAAACTACAAGTGCAGAGGCTCATAGTGAGTGGGGAATCTTCATCAGAGAACTAAAAGTGAAAGGCAGTAAGAAGCCGCTGTTGTATCAGTCCTCTAAGTAACAAGGAAGGAGAAATGTTGGCTGCATCCCTTCCTCTCATGAGCCTCTCCTGCTGTTTTTCACTCTATTTCTCATTCTAGTTTGTTCTTGGTGCTCATTTGCTGGAAAGGAAGGGAAAATACAGTTTCTGGAAATTTTATAATAGACCTCACAACTTTGCAACATGAATATATATGAGAGACTGTATGTGTACATTGCTCAATGTGCCATGAACACAGACAAAAATTAATAACAATTTAAAAATAAGAACAGCAAAGGAACATAACAAACTTACCTGGAGAAATCACATAAATGGTGCTGTAGAAGAATTAAGTTGCTTCATTCTAATTTGTAAAAATAATAATCAGCAATTAGGTGAAATTATTCAAAGTCGAGAAAAATATCAGGCACAACTGTATGGCATTTATCATAACGTTGCTTTGTTATGAAGGGTTTGGACTTTAGGACATACTAACAAACAGAAAAATAAGTAGCAAAATACCTTGGACCACAATTATTATTTTGAATAGGGATACCCAGGCCAATTATTTATCTCTCATATATATTATATAGGACTGCATTATCCTATTGTACCCACTAGCCACATATAGCTAGTAATACTGAAATTAATTTAAATTAAATATACTTTACAATTCAATTTTTTAGCCACTTCTCAAGTAACCATTAATCTCGAGTAGCTGAGGACTACTACCATGTTGATTGAACAACACAAGACACCTCCGTTACAGGAGAAAATTCTTTTGTAATATATGAGAGAGATGTTTCCTCAGTTCTCTGTCCTTGAGGAAAAAGTAAGAGGAGGAAAGAGAGAATCTGGTAGTTCATATATAGGCCCAAGCATTTGTTTGTCTTAGACTGTATAGCATAATGAAAGAATATGAATGGACACAGTTTTGTGTCTTCACTATGTTATTTGGAAAAAATCACTTCATCTCAATGAATTTAAATTTGCAATTTTGGAAAATAAAAATATTTTTCCTGTTTTCCTTGCAAGATTACTGTGCAGATTGACTAAATGTACATATGTACAGTGTTTTGAGACATTATATCAATATAATCCATATAAGCTCATCCTTTGGTTCACTGGTAGTGCAAATTTTCAATCAAAGGAAAAATAGCCCATAAATCACAAAAAGCAAAGATAATTCAGGACATTTCTTCAGAAAGTGTCAATAGATAATTCATTCAAACAAATACATAAAAGAATTGCTTTAATTACTTTTTGTCCATCTAGATATTTCCTCTGATACCACAGAGGAATTATAATGTCCCTAACACCGATTGCCTATAAAAAAAAAAGTTTTCTAGTATTCATACCTTGGTTGAAGACATGTTTAACTCTATAATAAGAAATTAATATCTAAAACTACTTGAAAAAATAGATCCTATGGTTGTGTTTCCTTTCTCCTGCAAAAAGTTCTTTTTATTTTGCATTTCCTTAGAAACTGTCCTCTGGAAAAACTTTATAATGTGCTCCACTAATTCAGAAAGATTTCTCTTGCTTTTACTTTCCTTTCCTGACCCTCGGTTTTATCATAGGCATCTATATGCCAGGATCCCGGGAAGTCCTTTCACACAACCTGTAAGGTCTAGAGCTAAGAAAACAATGCTTGAAGAAGGGCAGTAATGCCCCGGGGTAAGAGTGAGGTCTTGAGCTTCATGCTCCCCTTCAGTCATTTTTATTCCAAGCCTACATCCTTTTGTCAGCAATTAAGACCAAGCAACACAGTCCACCTCCAAACTAACCCTATTCGCTATGTGAATTTTCTGCACTATCCTGTCACAAGGCACTCGATCAAGCTGCTGTCTTAAGAATGCTGCTATCCCTGTAGCCACCAGCAAATTTAAGTTCTAGCTCCTGCAAGATCTTTACTTGGTTTCATATATTCTCTCTCCCACTTCCCTATCTGTGGCCACCCAAGTTTGGACCACTGTTTACCTTTGCCATTGAAAGTTTGCCTTTGTTCCGTGACTTCCCAAACATACTTGAAAAGTAATATGCTCATTCGATCTCAATTTCTGTTAGTTCTTTAAATCATTGGGATGTTTTCGCCCTAAGAAGAAGTTCTTGAGAGCAGTGATTGGGAGGTCAGTGGTATCACCTATTATACATTCACATTACCTTGTGTGTATGAAGCACTTTACATTTTACAGAGCACTTTGATCCATCCTATTCTGTTCATTCAGTGACTACTTCACTGTACTATTTATTGAGCACCCACTAGAACTAAGTTACTGTGCTGCATCTTGTATTCAGTGACAACTGCAAATAGTGAGAGTTTGGGTATATAAGCGCATTGTCACAACCCAATGAAATCATCTAATACAACTTTGCAAGTAGATATGATCTCTATTACTCTACATTTTCTACATAGAAATGCTAATGTATTTGTCCTAAACAATGTTTTTTAAAACATAATACACCATAGTACCTGTGTGCTATTTGTTGTATTTCAAATGATCTGCTGACTTCAAGTAAAAGGAAAAAAAGTTACTCAAAGGTATCCCTGGTGCAGAAAACTTTCAGATTCACTTGCACTCTTTCTAAGCAGATGCAGTAGTTGGAGGTTTACCTTCTTGCATCAGTATTCCTTGTGTGGATTTTGAACAGCAAGTCTTATTATTTTAAGGCCCATAGAAGCACCAGAGTATTGAAGAAGCATTTGCACTTTAGGTGTATATGATTATTACGTCATCCATATCAGACCATCTCAAGTTTTCTCAAACGGTATTATTGACATTTTAGGCCTAATAATTCCTTGTTTCAAAAGGAGAAAATGGCTCTCTATATTGCAGCTTATGTGGTAGTTTTTATGGCTTTCACTGACTAGACAGTAGCACACACATCCTCTCTTGTCCTGACAACTGAAGATGTTTTCAGACACTGCCAATGTCCCTTCAAATGGAAAGGAAGGGAGAGGTTGACCAAACCCACCCCTAGTTAGAACCACTATGCCAAAAGGAAGCAAAAGAATTTTTCATTCTGTTGTCATTTAATCATCATT